AAACATGCTCTGACTTCAGGGCCTTCTGCATTCGAAGTTTCCCTCACCTCCTTCAGGACTTCATCCAAAATCTCACCCTGCCCGTGAGCCCATCTTTAGGCATTTCATCTAAGTGATAACCCACCCTCCCACCCCCAGTCACATCACTTCCCTTCTAGAACTCAAGGACTTCCTGCCTCAGCCTCAGTAGGCTTGACTGGAAAGCATACACCTTCAGCCCAGCTCCAACCCTTCAGATCTTCAGATCTGGTCGTCTGGAGGAGGCATGCTGTGGTCGTCGCAGGAGTAAGGGTGTATGTCCAGAGAGTCGGGGAGGGGGTTGTGGCTATTGCCAGGCCTGGAGTTCATTTTCACATTAATATTTTTTCTTTTGTGTGTGCATGTTGCATTCGTGTTCGTATGTGCGGGGATCATAAACACATGACCACATGTGTGTGGAAGCCAAAAGCCAACACTGGATGTCTTCCTCCATCAGGGCCTTTCACCAAACCGAACCTGGAAACCACTGATTCTCATCTGGCTAGCCGGCTTGCTCTGAGGATCCCCACCTCTGTCTTCTGAACGCTTGCAGTACAGACCGCTGCCACTCCCCCCACCAGCTTTTAAGTGGATTCTGGGGAATCTAAGCTCAGTCCTTTATGCTTTGGTGACAAGTGTTTGATCTACTTGAGCCATCTTCCCAGTCCAGCAATTTTTGAGGACCCACCAGTGCCTAGCATGGGGGGTGGGGGTGGGGGGAGCCCCACTGGGCAAAGTCCCACTTGGTCCCTCTTCTGATAGAGTTGGAGGCTAACCATGAACAGGTAATAAATAACCTGGGTTTGCACAGGTGCTATTATTAAGAAAGTCAAACAACCCAGTGTGGTGGCACACGCATTTAATCCCAGCACTCAGGAGGCAGAAGCAGACAGATCTCTGTGAGTTCAAGGCCAGTCTAGCTGACATAGTAAGTTCCAGGACAGCCAAGGCTACACACAGAGACCCTATCTCACAAAGAAAAAAAAAACTTACACAGGGGCTAGTGGTTAAAAACAGGACTGCTTGGCTGGGCGGTGGTGGCGCATGCCTTTAATCCCAGCACTCGGGAGGCAGAGGCAGGCGGGTCTCTGTGAGTTTGAGACCAGCCTGATCTACAGGGGGAGTTCCAGGACGGTCTCCAAAGCCACAGAGAAACCCTGTCTCAAAAAACCAAAAAAAAAAAAAAAAAAAAAATGCTGTGAAGCAAAGTCATACCATACAACAGGACTCACATGGAAGGTTTATTGGAAGAGGAGAGAGAAGGGGCAGAAAAGGGGGCAGAGAGCAGTCCCTGGAGACAGGACTGGTAGAAGAGAAAAAGAGAGAGAAAGGGAGAGCAAGAGGAGATCAGAGGTGATCATTACCTTTTATAAGGGAATGTAGTCAATGTGCACAGGTGGTTCTCTTAGTGGCTACAGCTGAGGACATATTCTGTCAGGACCCCAAGGGCAGGCCAGTACAGATGCCTGAATATTAACACTAGCTTGTTCCTTTTCTTCTTCTATTAATTATTATTATTATTATTATTATTATTATTATTATTATTATTATTATCAGTGACAGATCTATGGAGTCCCGGTTGTCTCAGAACTGGCTGGATTTGAACTAAGACACTGACCCACCTGCTGCTGTCTTCCAAGTGCTAGGACTAAAGGCATGGGCCACCAGGCCTGGCTGGCTCTTATTCTTTTTAAAGATAGGTTCAAATGTCGTCCAGGCTTTCATTAAGTTCCATGTTGCTGAGTCCACTTCTGACTCCCAAATGTTGGGGTTCATGGTAGGCACCATCACACCTCGCATGGCAGACATCTTGGAACAAAGACACCTCCTGAAGTCTTCCTGTCCCTTTTTTTTTTGAGACGGGGTTTCTCTGTGTAGCTTTGGAGCCTATCCTGGCACTCGCTCGGGAGACCAGCCTGGCCTGGAACTCACAGAGATCCACCTGCCTCTGTCTCCCGAGTGCTGGGATTAAAGGCGTGGACCACCAATGCCCAGCTATCCCTGTCCCTTTTTGGATTGGCCTTATTTTCAGACAACCTGTTCACTTTCTTCACTACCAGGCCCCGCCCCCACCTCACCCAAATGAGGTATCTGTTGGGAAGCCAAGAAACCACAAGCAAAAATCCCCACGTTTGCCATGCAACCCTTCCAGAAAAGTCCCTAATGCAGGGTATGCTCACTTGGGCATGGGCAGGGCAGTGACATGTGACACTCCTTCCTGGCCTCCCTTTTCTTTACCTGCACTCTCTGTCCGTCCATCCGGCCGAGCCTGGCTTTTCATCTCTCAAGCCTCAAGTGAATTCCTGAACCCAAACTGGACATGGCTTTCAAGAACAGCATCTTAGAGATCAGTGTTCAGTCGTGAGGGTTCTTTGGGCATTTTGTTGCCCTTTAGGACCTCGGCAGGCAGCACATTCCATAACAAAAGGTTGACTTTTCTGGCCCGAAGAGCCCTAGCCTGTGACACATGCCCTACAGGCACACCCCACACCCTTCTGACTGACTTTCAGTCACAGCAAAGGATCATAAACACTGTGGTAAACAGGGCTCTTCTGGAGGCTGCCGTGTCTTACCAGAAGCGGCACTGCTTAGGCTCTATCTACCATGAAGGCCTGAGAGGATGGCTCACCCGAAGGATACTTGCTTCAAATTCCTTTGGCAGTAATAAGCTTCATGAGCTAGCCGCCATGTCCTGGGCTGGCTCTCCTAGCACTGACACTGAAAACAACAGCAGAGGCTAGCAGAGTTTGAATCTTACCCCTGTAGTCCAGTCCCTTTTCTCTCCATCTCTAAACTTCAGGCTTCAAAATGCTACTTTAGCAAGGTGTCTGTGCACACTGGGAGGCAGGGGCAGTTGGATCTTGGTGAGTTTAAGGAAAGCCTGGACTACATGGTGAGCTGGTTTCAAACAAAACAAATTGTCTTTGTTTGCAGACAGGGGTCAAGCCCAGGGCCTCATATACACAGATACTAAGCAAGAGTTCAATCATCCAGCCATACTCCAAGCCCCTAAACTTGAGGTTTTTTCCTATGCAAATGTGAAATGTGACACAGTATCTGCTTCTTTCTAATCCTGAGGATTAAAGAACTTAGTTTGCATAAAATAGTCCTGACAATACCCTTAAGCGAGTGGGTAACTGTTTTACACAAAGTTACTCTTGCCCACCTTTGTTAAGAAAAGGATGGAAGTGTTCAGGGAACTACTTTAACTTCTTTTTTTCAGGGTTTCTCTGTGAAACAGTGCTAACTGTCCTGGAACTCTGTAGACCAGGCTGGCCCTGAACTCAGAGATCTGCCTGCCTCTGCCTCCTGAGTGCTAAGATTAAAGGCGTGCGCCACCACAGCCCAGACGTATGTAGAGAACTTGACAGGCCCTGCCCATCACCCTAGATTAAGTTTACAAATTTAAGACAATTCAAATCTTTCCAAAATACCTTTATTTAAAAAAAAAAGAAACACTCAAAAAAATAAAATTAAAATAAACCAGCCACTACAAACCCTTCCCCCGCTCCCCCCTGTTAAATAGTATGGCATGGAGCTGGTAGGTTTCCACCCTATTGCACATGGTCCGGCCTGGTTATGAATCAGGAGGCTGTTGGGACTGGGGTCCTGCCA